CGCAAAATTCTTCTAAAATAATTTTAACAAATTACACGTTAAAAAAAATGTAAATATTTTGTTACAACAGCCGCTGCTGTATATACAGGGTATTTTAGAACAAATAGTGTTATTCTGAACGCATACGAAGTAAGAAATGATGTATGAGACGCGATTGATCTTAAAAATGCAAAATAATGAAGTAAAATAGATTTTAATTTTAAGAAAGTAGAAAAATTATTTTATGGCTCTTATCTTATGGAGACGGTTCTTCTAAATTAGAGAGTGTCAAGAAATTTAAACTTATAGTAGTTGCATGCCAATTTACGAATACGTATTGCGTCTGTACTTCAATAAATGAAATTTTACAAGTTTTGTTTACTTTTAAAGCATCCTGCAGTTTAATAATTTTTCTTTAACATACACGCAATAAACTTGATTACATACAAGCGGTTTATTTACATTTTAAGTACAAATACACACAGTTGTACACATTATGTACAAATACGATTGTATTTAGTAAAATATCTCATATTATTCAAAAAATTATTAAGACAGGAGTTTGTTCTTCCCAGGATGCATTAAAAAATAGATATTTTTCTTTTATGTACACATACACGTTTGACTTTTTAATTCTATTTTATTTTTTATATTTTAATTTTCTTTTAAAATATGAGAACATGTGGCTCACAACTTTTAATTTATGATGATGAAAAATTATTCTCTCAAATGTTTCTTATGTTAAAAAAAAATAATTAAACAGAAAATATTTTAACATAAACACATACACAAACAAAAATTAATAATATGAATATATGGAAATTTTGAAAAAAAAAAAATTAAATGCTACGTCTAGCATACTCGTACATTTTTAACGGTTAATTGTAGCGAATTACAATTTGAACACGTCAAGAAAAATTAATATGCATGTAACGGGGGAAAATTATTTTTACATTTGTAACAAGTCATTGCTTATATATCATAGTTACGTTATGGAGATATTTATACAGACAAACAAATTTTAATTAAAGTATTTATAATGAAAAATAGATTTCTTGCTTTTTGTTTGCTCTTCACATTTAAAATTTTTTTGACTTTCTTGTGTATGTTGTTTTAATGAGATCATTATTAGCAAAATAAAAAAAATGTTAGAAAAAGGTACTTTATTAAAAAACAAAAAAATTTTCATAATAAAATTTTAAAATAATTTCCATATTGCAATATTGTTTTTTAAAAGAAATTGTAAACATTTACATAATTAAAAAATTACGGTAATAGAGAAACAGAAAAGGTTATACGAAAGATGGCGTTGTAAATTAAATTTTATGAAGAGAATCTGTTGAAGATTTACACAAGTTCAGAGGAGTATTGTATAAATAGCGATAACTTGTAATGCTTATATCCATAATGTCACACATAAGACGCACTGACTAGAATGTTCTTAAAACATATCTTTCAGTAAAAATTCTTAAAACTATAATCTCTCAGTAAAAATAATCTCTCAAGGTTCTATTGTAATTTCAATAAAGTTGGATCAGACCATGAGTTGTAAAGGAACACTTTTTTCTTAAACAAGAGAAATCCCTTTTGCTCATAACCATATTAGAAATATTTATAAATTTATTGCATATATTTAGGATGAGCAAACTCCAAAAATTGAAATTAAACTTTTACATAATGGTTAAATTAATAAGGTTAATTTAATGAGTTAAGAGAAATAATGATACTTTTTGTTGGAATGGCGTTTACCATTAACTTTACGCTTTTATAGAAATTTTGAAAAGCTTGTAATTCCGGAAATAGAACGCTGTAAATACGGGGAAGAAATGTTAGGATTTCCTTCTACACAAATAAGGTTTTTTTTCCGAAGACCCAAATGTCAAAGCGCACAGAAGTTTTATAAACCGACACAGGCACATATGCAAGGACTTCCAATTTTATTTAGAAAAGTCTTAAAAATGTAGAAGTTCCTCACCCAAAAATATAGATTAAAGTTTAATTGTTCACAATTTTTCGAAATACTAACTCTTAAAATTTTGCAATGTACTTATATAATTTGGCTTAAAATTTATTTGATTCTTAAGGTGCTAGTTTTTCAAAACACAACCTTATTATATTTTCAAGTTGAATAAGAAGTTTAATTTTTTTAAAGTTTTCTAAATCTGATTTATTTATTTAAGTTTCATTTGTTTTGGTTCTTTTAAATTTTCATTTTAAGTAAAGAAAATTTCTTTTGCCTCAACAATAAAATCTTATTCAATATTTGCTTTAAATTTAAATTTAAAGTAAATATTCCTTAAAGAAATTTAATTTTTAAAATTTGCTTCAATAGAAATAAGAATTTTTTTTTTAAAATTTAATTTACCATTGAAAAATTTATTTAATGAAATTCTATTGAAAAAATTTTTACATAAATCAAATGAAAATAAAAACTACAAAAAATTCGATAAATTCTGTTCTGTAAATCCTTTTTAATTCACTTGAAAAATTACATATATAAATTATATTTTACTACATTCAATGACAAAATATAGTTGCAAATTACACTCACTTTACTCCATTTAAATAATTTAGAGTTTATAGTATTTTGCATATTTTGTATACTAGTTAAATTTTGGTATTATGCAAATTATTTAAAATTCTCATAAATCTTCAATTTACTTCTGAATTTAAATTTAAAGTATAGAAAAGCAGGGAAATAGAATCCTTCATAATATAATGTTAATTAAACTATAGTATTGTTATTTTAGTAACTCCTATATTTGTTTTTTAATAGACTATGGAAAATATTAATTTCCATATTACAGGGAACTCGGAAAATTTGCATAATATATTCATAAATTGTCTACAATTTAATTTTGTAAGAAGACAACGCTATAAATTTTACATGCCATGTACTTAAATGATAATAATTACCATTCAATTATAATTTTTCACAAATTATTAATTATTTTAGACATAGTTTAAATTTAATCTTACACTGCCTCATATATACCTTTTAAATTAACATAAATTACAGAATAATAATTAATTCGAGATATTATAACATATAAAATTCTTAAAGGAAAAAATAACGAATATTAAAGATTAGAAATTCATCAAATAATATTTTATGCATTATTGAAGGATTTCATCCTGACAGAATATATTTCCTTATGACTTACGATCATGTGTACACTTCATCAGAGGAAAATTATTATTAAAATCATACAAAAAAAAAAAATCAAAATATCAAATTGTGACGATATTTCATCCTATATAAATATGCATATACAAGTATATACATATACAAGCACACACAAGAAATTGTGTCGTATGAATTTTATAATAATCCTTGATTATATAGTTAATAAGTTTGTTAAGAATTAGATGATTGTAAAAAGTTTTGAAATATTATATACGAGTATAATAAACATTAGAAGAAGGAACAAAAAAACTCTTTGAAATATAATAACATTATGTGCACGTTCTATAAACTTTGTATAACACAAAATATTTTATAAAAGTTTATCGCTGAAACCGAAAACTCAAAATCCAATCTAAAGGTCAGAGAAGGTGTAAAATTATTCAAAAAAACCAAAAAAATCTCTTGTCAACACCATTTTGTTTTTAAATTTTAAATGAAACAAATAAAATTCTTTCAGATGGTCTAAACCGACTGAACTATACGAGTAACTCGTACCTTGTGGCCTCACTATGTAATTCGATTTTCGTAAAAGGGTTTTTGTATTTAGTTACAGAAATGGATTACCTCACCATTTTCCCCAATACGAAAATCGTTTCACGCAAATTGAATTATATAGGAAGGCTCCCGCATCTTGACAATCTGAACAGAAAAACTTGCATTTGAAATACTGATAATGATCTATAAAGGTTGGGCTACATTTAGACACATGACTGCCAAGTTTCATTATTCTAACTTTATAATTTTTCCAAATATTTAAAATGATCTCTTTGAGCTGTATGGTAGCTGACGGAACCCATCGTCCTAATTGGTCCAATTACAATAGCGGCAGTTCTTGGCCATTCTCCTGGAAATTTGATTTTCAGATCGTTTCTAAGGCTAAGTCGTTTTAGGTACATAGACTCCGAAATCCCAATACCCCTGTATCCGGCGACGCAATTATTTTGAACGAGGATTTCTGTTGATTTCCTTAGTGCTGTCTGACTTCCTTGAAGATAGCTCAAGCTTTATACTTGGGAAACCTACAATAAGTAGCGAATGGCTGCGGTGGACGGTGAATATGTTCTCTTGGCTAATACATTTCCTTTGGAATCTACGAAATTCGTGAAATTAAGGCTGTAAGCAAAATACTAAAACTTTGGCAAAAACCACAATAATTAACAATAAAACTCTTTCTCACATTGGTTATTTTTTTGCATTTATTTTTTTGAAATTAATGAAGATTTTCTATAACTGATAAAAATATTTAGGTCCTAATTACTTATTATGCCTCCCAATTACTCCAAAATATTCTAGTAATCAGTAAGGACTACTAGACTAAGTACTATATTTTGTATTTGTCAGTGTGCATTATAAGAACATAAAACGTTTAATTTCTGATATTTGGCATAGTCTTATTACTTTCTCATATCTCGTTTAATGTACTCATTTTTTTACAATCATGCAAGTATGTATAAGTATATAAGTATGTAAATATATTTTTATATTACAAAAATAATAAATCAAACCAAAATGTTTGTATTTTTAATAATTTTTCTCTTTTTTTGTTTATCTATGTTTTTTCTTTTTCTCTCTTTTTTACTTCTTCTCTTTTGTTTTTATGGCAATAACTTTATAAATACACTTTTCTCTATGGGATTTTGCTTTTGAACATTACACAATTTTTCATTTTACTGCCATCATATAATTTATTATATATGACGCAAAAAACTTAAATACTCAACACCAATACCAAAAATATTCATCAATTCATCAAAAAACAAAAAAAAACTGTCGTAATAACGTATACATGAACACACATATACACACGCTAAAAATAAATAATAAAACTTTATAGTAAGGAAGATGCATATGTGATATTCCGTGATGCCGCCCAGATGAATATGACAGAAGCCGGTCACGTATGGATAGTTACAGAGCAAGCACTTAAAGCTAATAATACACCAGAAGGAATTCTTGGTTTACAATTGCAGTATACAAATGAAAAAAGTCATATTAAGGTAAGTGCGAAATAGGAAATTGTACTCACTTCCTCTATATACTTTATGTTATGTATTATATAAATGTTTAAACTTGAAATATACCATAATACAATTTATAATATACGCCCAATCTATGAAATCTATAAATTACTCAAAACATCAAAAACGGGAGCGCTAACGAAAGTGAGTCGTTTCTATCATAACCAACTAAATTTCGGCATTAACTACTAATGTTCAAAAATTTCCAACTCAAGCTCTGTCCCTATTTCATTTGCAATTGTAAATGTTTTTAGTCACCTCGATTATAAGTGAAGACGTAATTTAAAAAAGATGTAAAGAAAAACATATAAAAGCGATTAAAAAAGCAGTTGACATACGATTCGACGGAAAATTAAAAACATTTTATTTACAGCTTACATGCCACAGTCCTTCTGTCACTGAGCTAACAATTCTATGCATTATGTATTATTAGAAGAAAAATTCAATTATGGCCGCCATTGCTCGCAAAACAATTCCATTTCCATAACAAGGCGTACTTGTGTACTAGATTGGTACACTCTATGGCAATAAAACCAAATATGTACGTTTTTCGGTAGAAAAGCTTTTATATCGTAAAACAGGTTTAGTATTTTTAAACGCTATATACATAGGTAGTATTATTTTTATATCGGAGATTTTATCAAAAAACTTGTTTTACTTTACTAGAAAACATATACGGAACAATCACCATATTTAGTTGTAAAATCTTATATTTACCAAAATGCGTAATACGCAACTAGAATTGAACATTATTTTTTCCTTGTAAAAATATCCTTAAAAATTTTCTACTACTAGAATGGAAAAATTATTCAAAATACCTTTTTAATTCTCATCATATTTTTGATTTCTACTTTTTAAGAGTTATATTAAAACTGAGTTGGTAAGAGCATTTATTTATTCTAAATGTTCAAATACAAATAGACACCAAATTGTTCCTTAACAGCTACAACAAAGAATTTATAAATTTTCCACACATCCTTATAAAATTTTTACTTTAAATTTCTGTAAAGTTTTATTAAAGTTTTCTTTAAAACATGGAAAACTTAAAATGTTTGGTTGAAAAACTTTTACAATTCAAAATTTCAAAAAAATTAAAAATGTTTAAAAGAAACATTCCTCGTTCCTTGCTCTCTATCAATGCCGCAAGTAAATTACTATAAAGCTTCTACATTTTATTTTTGTGAAATCGTTTTGTGCAAGTAATGATAAAATAATAATAGATTTTTTTTTTAATAAAAAATTTTCTTCTGAAACCTTACGGCATATTTAGTCTAGACAAAAGAAAAGCATATCTTAAAACCACCACACATATGATTGGCATGAGAATCGCGTATGTGAGTTGAAAATTTTTTTTTTTAAATTATTTCTAAAACAAAAATTCAATTACTCGAAAAATTTTATTTTTTTCATTGGAGATTGAAATCTAGAAATTTTCTATGAAAATTATTTAATGAAACAAAATTAAGTACAACATATTTTTTTTTTCTGAAGATCTCTTGGCTTTTCTCTTCTTTGAGTTTCTTTTGGTTTTAAGAATCCAATCGGTTTCTCTATAGCCAATTCTTGTTCATCTGTTGCGTACATCACAACATTCATTTTGTTATTCGCGGTGCCATAAAACTATACTACGCTGATTTAATAATTTCAAATTTTCAGGCTTGAGTTTACAGATTTAATTCTTCGTACTCATTATATAAGTTTTCCAAATCGCTTATACGCGAATAGATTACTAGTATGCTTTCTTGGTGTAACAGGCTTTTGATATTACCTTCAGAGATTATAATTTAGCTGTCTTCCTCAGACTTTCTCTCTTTATAATTTTCTAAATTTTAACTTCTCACATAGGCACTTTCAACACTTCATTCTAGGATAGATTCTCCCAAACCTTTGCTTCTATTAAAGCTTTGCCATTGAATTATTTTTTTTCGAAAAAAATGCACCAATTTTTAGTATACGAGATTAAAAGAGCTTTTAATTTGAGAATAAATATAGCTATTTTCACTCTCATACATCCTTTCATTTATATAAAAATATATAGCCTTCAAGCTGCCAACAGTTATGAACATCAGATGCTCTCTCTTTAAAAAGATATTATAATTTTCTTTAGAAGTTCTTAACATTTGAATTTAACCAACACCTACTAAAATACTAAACGAATCAACGTAAGTACATAAAAACAACAATTAATTATTGAATTAGAAATTTTGTATATCAACTCTAAAACGATTGTTGAATTAACTTCAATTTAAGCTAATCTATTCTTGCTTTTTTTGCAACAGTTTCAAACACTCGTACTCGCGTTTCAATGAAATTTTCCATTTACTCTATTAGGTATCTATTTTCTATTTTTAGAAATAAAACAAGAATATAAACCAAATGAATCTCTTTCTATTTGAAATTGTACATATATAAAAGAAAATATCTAAGCAAATATATAGAATATCCTTGAAATCGAAAATAAAAAGGATAATATAAAGAAAAGAAATTAAACGATTTTTTTTTTTGTCGAAATTAAAATTAATTGGAATAAAGTGTTTTATTTTTTCTATAAATGTGTAAAAAATAATTCTGAATAAAAGTTAATTTGAGAATTTTTTTCTAGAATCAATCGAAAACTCTTAATTATTCGCTTATGGCAAATCCAAATGTTAAAAATGTAGGTTTTACAACATTATTACATAATAATGATTAATGAAAATTCATGAAACCATTAATCAGCTGCCCAAGGGTCGGCAAGGAAAGGTTGCTAGTACATTCTTATCGGCAAGGAAAGGTACCACATACTGCCGTGAACGTTGAGGCGCATGCATCACACAGAGAGGGTGTCATAAATAGATAGAAGGTGCCATTATACGTAGTCGTCATGCATTGTAAGAGAGGGCTATTTGTGAAGTTTATAAATTTAAATCACTCCATTTTCAATGCTAAGAAATAAGACCTGAAATATACAGACAACTAAAAATGTAAAATTATATTCTGACTCTGTGTCCAATCTTAAGAATCTTAAATTTTCACACACGGTCTATACACTATACACTATATATGCTGCTGAAAGGATTTGCAATAGTGTTATTACAGTCAAATCTATCTTTTCTGTTCGCATCGTTATATCTTAAATTCAAGTCTATGTTATCAAAGGTTAGCATTATCTATAGATACACATGCTATACAGTTACTTAATAATTTTTCATTATAAGTATATTGCATTCAATCTTCCCAGCAGGTTACAAACAAACACATTAAGCAAAAAACCATCAATGATTACAACAAGACGTGACAAAAAAAAAAATTTTTCCACAATAAAATTAAATAAAAAACAGCAATTAACTACTTGTACTTTAAAAATTTTCTCTACAAAATTGCAACATAGCATGTAGTGCACTTTTGATTAATGAATGTGGCTCCAGTACAGTTGTTCATTTTCGTTCTATGTTTATAAGTCAATCAAAACTCATTATACTATAACTTCTTAATTAAGTCATTTTCTAAGCAAAAAAAAAAATATTCAAGCTGTGTTAAACAAATTTAGATGATGCAATCTTAATTTCTTAGTGAAAGTCATATGTGAATTTTTACTCCTTTTCATTTAATTGAATTCCATGTTATATTGAAAAGTAACTTTATTTTGTTATTGCTTTATAGCTGAAATTTTAAATAAAATATTTATGTTAAACAGAATTCCATATTTCACACAGGCTTTTTTGGGGCCCGGGCCACCAAAATATAGCGAAAAATGGATAGGCGGATGAGCTGACTAGGTGTGGCTTAGTCATAGACCACCGAGCAGGTTATTCTGTAGAAAGAAAAATGTGGCCAAAATACGATCTTTGGAAATAGGTTGGGGTTCTGGCAATGTCCTATGGGGTTATTACCATCCTGATAGCAGTCTATACGAGAAAATGGCTTTTTGTGGCAGCTGCTTGGAGATGAACAAGAAGAAGACTGTTTTCCACTATATCTGCGAGTGTCCCGCTCCAATCGAGGCCAGACCGGTCACGTGGACCGGGTTACTTAGGTAGGCCACCTGCAATGATACGAGCTCCCGCCTTTCTCTATATTTTGATTAATCGGCTAAAAATTGCTTTTTTTACCCGTTTTTATTAGAATAGCATAATATAAATTATTTTTCGTGTTAACTTTATGCAATCAAATATAAAATTCTTCTTTTTATATCTTTAATAATTAATTTTTAAATAATTATTTTTTTAAAAACCCAAAATTTTATCTTAATTAACATTAACATCATATGCAGATTATTAAAACGCATTAAAATAAAAACTCCCGTATAATTTAAGTTTTGTAATATGTTTACATTCACACTAACATTCAAAAAAAAAAATTGTAAAAAAAAAACTCAACCAATCTAGCAGATGTCGGCCCGTCCTTGTACTTTTGGTTTAAGTAAATCAAAAATTTTAAAAATATCTGCGAAAGTATATAGAATAAAGTTGTAGATGCAAAAGCGTATGCATAAGTTTTCTTATTTGTATAAACGCAAGCTAGTCATAAAAATTATTCCATGTACGAACATAAAATCCTTTAATATCATCTAAATAAACCAACCTAAAAAGGAAATAAAAATGTATAAAGTAATGCAGTGGTATGAAATAATTTACTAAATTCATGGGACTTTAAAAAGAAATAATAAAATAAAATAAAAAAATGAACTCTTACAATCAACATTAGAAGTAATAAGCAGTGACGGATTACGTGCATAGCAGACCAACTAGGTGCGTTGAAATCTGTTTCGTTAGAATTATGCAAAAAATCCGTCCGAAATTTGATCGAAATTTGTTGAGTATATTTACCAAATTTCGTATTTTCTTACAGTTATTTTGAACAATATGATTTCGAAGAGAGAACAGCCTAAAAATTTTCCGTGTGTACTCGTGGGTACTCGGTAACACAGAAATATTTAATAACAATCGAAGCCCTCTATGAAATATTTATGTTTCGAATTATTTTTCGAAATAGTATTG